TCCATTGTAATCGACCGGGTTGCCAGGTCGCTGCATCGAATTGGACAAGCATTTATTGCATTGTGCGCATGTTTGGGTTTATTTTCCCACTCACCCGCTGATTGCCTTGCCTCACAGGTGTCGGACGATCGCTCTAAACTGGTGATTTGACGAATAATATTACAACCAATATCTCTACTTTGGCGCTTAATCTTGGTGCTTGGAGACACACTACAAGGCGAAGATCGTCTCGCAGTTCTGTGATCGTTAACGATCTAATCATAGAGCTATCCTCGACCCCCTCGTCTACCCCTTACGCACATGTCCTAGTTCCTTGGCCGAACAGCAGCTAATCCAAAGGAATGAACGACTCAGCATCTTTGATACCGGAACATAAGCCTGCACACCTTTGTGTGACAGCAGTCATTTGCAGTCGAGAATGAAACTTGGTTTGAACACTTTGTCAGCTTACGCGCCCATTCTCAATCGTTGGCGGTGTTGCCAGCTGGTTGGCGTGACTAGCCATGGTACATAAATGCTCGCTCAATCCCTCCTCCCATTCCAACGAATCAAGAGACTATCAATTATTCCTTGCAGGGCCTTGAAACGCTGATGCTAACGATCAGCCGAGGTGGACGTTCTCCGCGCTCGATGATGGCAATCTGAGGCTCAGTTGGAGCCTCTATCCACAGTGGATTTCATAACGGGCAATGAGGCATGCTCCCCTGAGAATCCATCATCAAACATTTCTTCAACGACGACACGCTGCATGCCTCTACCCCTAAAGCGGTTTCGAAGACATCCATGTATTCTGTCCTCCATCTTTTCGCGTTGTTGCCGTCAACTGAAATAAGAAGGAACAGGGCTCGACATTTACATATGCTATCATTCCCCGTTATCAAACTGCCCAATATGTCGTTCTATTCATAAATAGTTATGGTGAATTTAAGATCGCCAGGAGGGAGTGCCGTCAGAGGGCGTGGGACCCAGGTAAGCGCCCAACCCGAAAAGGTGTAGACGGCGCTGGCAATGGGCTCGAGTGATTCTTGGGCACGAGCAAGTCTCTCAAGATGAAATAGAGCACTCCAGGGCAGTCATACAAGCATTCCTGCCATTACATGTATTTATAAGTATACCAAAAGTATTCTAAGAGAAGGTTGCAATGTGGGGTGGGTACAAGGGGGAGAAGGTGCTAAAACTTTGTATTTCTGACTCAAACTGGACTGTGAGCTGGTAAAGCTCATGTTAGTGCACCCAACTAGGTGTGAGCGCGCTTCGTGCGCCTGCTGACCAGAATTTCCGAGCCGAGTGCGCCAAGTTTAGCGCCCAGACGAGAATTCCGCCAAACATGCCGGAATGGTCCCAAGAGACCTATCGGGTGGCCGATCTTTTAAATTTTGATTAAATCCATCAGGATTTAATCAGAATTTAGCATCAATAAGTGCTTATCGCGACTTACTGCACTTACCCACCAAAAATAGGTCACTCGGTAACAGTCGGCTTGGTTCTTGGGAAAAGGTGGGTCTTGGACGCACCAGCCAGACCCAGACCCGCCAGCAGTGTGCTAAAAGAGCTCACACAGGTGCCGAGGCCAGCTTCAACACGTTAAGCGCCCTAACGAGAGGCAAGAGAGCGCTCTCTCCCCTCGTTCCTGGCCCAATTCCGTCACAAAAGCGTGTTTGACCGGGTTTGACTCACTTTTGGGTGATTTTCCGATTTTTCGAGATATAAAATGATATTTCACTTCTAATTATACACTAATGGGATGTTTCCCCCAGCCAGGGGCCACGAGGGAAGTGCCTGCGCACGACGAGTCAGCGAGAAAGGCACCAGCCGGCGACTTCCGAGCGACATCAGCCGCCCAATGATCTCCCATCACGCGCGCCATCAGCGCCCTGCCAAATTCCCGTGGCAGTGCTTAAATTTGTTCAAAGAAGTCTCTCTAACATACCAATTCCGCCCACCCAGACAGATCCCATCCGACGTCGAGACGCACCTTTACCCGTTCACCGATTATCCCTAACTCATTCCTCATGTCGATCCTAATTTCTTTCTAGCACATTTGGGAAGGAGTCTTGCGAGTGTGGATGGCGCTCGTAAAGCAGTTCGTGCTTCTTGGGAGGGTCAGGAAGATACAGATGTATTGGATGAGGGACCTAATACCCCAGAATCATCATACAGATGCCTTCTTTATCGCCCTGACGTTGCCACCAGCAGTAAGCATGGGAACGATGGAGGAGAGCCGGAGAGGACGGAGAGGAAGGAGAGGAAGAAGGATGCGCATCAGAGCCGGTGCATGTGAAACAAAGGAAACGTGACACCTCTTAGATACTTGGACCTTGCTGGAGTGACAGTATGTACTGACTCAGGGCTTGAGTGAAGGCAGTGTTCATTGAACATTGTCTCAGTAACGAAAATGCCCGTTGATTTCCACAATATCTCCTTCCTGTGTACCGCCAAGTGACCTGTGACCACCTCTACGTACCCCGTACCACCAACACCAATGCCAGCCCCAGCAGCCCGTCTAAAGCCAAACACCTTGCCTAGCCCTCCTCTCAGTGAATCCTACACCGCCAGATGGGGCGCATGGTAAATCCAGTTGATAGTGTGTCAGAGGATGAGGCCAGAGGTGGGAGAGAAGGTGTGGCTTGATTCTCTGCACATGGAGGGTGGGTCGGCATCTGAGTCTTGGTGAAGAGAGGTAGGAAAAGAGGAAGGAGAGATCGGGAAAGGGAGAAGCAGGGAAGAGGAAAGTGGAATATGCACTCACACATCCCAATCTATGACACCCCCACTGACGCTATTGATATCCACCGAACCTTTCCACACCACCAAATCATGCTGTTTGCGATTCACCCGCTCTTCCCTTTGTCCCGCGAGGAGGGCTTTGCCCGATGTCCTTTCCACTGGCTTGAGCGTTCCAGATATCAACTTTCATGAGGTTTCGGCTGATAGGTTTCAAGGTGAGGATCTTGACTCGAGAGCGACTCAAGGGTAGTCGATGCTGCCTTCGTTGTTACCGATGTTATACGCCCGGCACCGGTGCACCTAACGGTCCTCAACACCTACCCAAAGATTCTCAAGCCTCGATATTAAATGCTGGAGGGCACACCAGTTGAGGGTATGACGTCCCACTTGACAATGGCTTTACTAGGCTGAAGTTTCACCCCTAATTCACCGGTCCATTCACACATCACCAGCGTGCTGAGCCCACGTGTTCTGAGAATCGCAAAGGGACACATAAGGGAAACACGTTGTACGAAAATCACTTCCAACCGATTTCAGAACACGCCGGTTTCGAAGTGCCTTCACACTTCCAGCAGCTTCTCAAGTTCAAACTGAAGTGAGTTTTCACGTCCTTGAATTCTCCTAGGGGCGATCATGGAAGTGATTTATGTAACGCCTCCATCGCATCATTCCTATTGTTCCCCGACATTTGTGGAAGGGCATTTTCACTTTGATGCCTTGGACCCATGATTGTTAGTATAGCGTGAAAGGCCACTCCAAACGATAGGTAATTAATTCATGGACCAGGTAAATGGTAGATATCAAGTAACAACTCCTGGGAAGTGCGTTCTCACTTCTGTATATTATTGTCACGCGGATCGCTTTGTACTTCTTATGCTCTGTCATACATATGCATGTTTCATCCGTCAGGGTACTCAATGTTATCCGAAAAAAAGTGTAAGCAAAACACCGACCGGAACCCGAGACCTCCTCGAAACAGCCATACTCTACAAGCACCTAGAAACAAGCCCCCATGTTAACCCCAACAAGGAATCATACTATGTACTAGACTATCAGGCCGGTCGGAGGGATATCCTTGGTAGGTGCTGCGAGCCATGGACGCCCGGAATGTATGGTTGTACTTGTGCTGGGGTGGCTAGCGCTTTGCCGCTTGAATCTTGCATGGCGCGCAGGTCTCGAGTAGGCTCGAAACTCGCTGTTATGGAAAACGCAATGGATTCCTTGCGGTACATATTAGTGACTGACTACTCTGGGTGCGTCGAGGAGCTGGGACCGAGGATAGATGTCAATTCAGCGCCTACATTTATCGGGGAGATCTCTGGTATAAGGTTGAGCAAAGGGTCCACCCCTTCTTCACTCAATTGGGAGAGCGTGTCGCCCAGTAAGCTGTGGTATAGACGTGTAAATGTCAAGTGGCGAGGTCAGTCGTTCAAGCTACCAAGAAATTCCAAACAAGGCTTTTATGAAAAATTTCCCCCTTTTGTCATTGCACAGCACAAGCTCCTTTGCTGGCGGCGAGGAATTGAGATTGGACATCCGCCAACCACCAGACGCCGGCTGTGCCAACGCGCGTTGATAAGTACCAGGTGAGCAGCCGTACATTCGCTGCTTCATCCGAGATATTCAGGTAATTCCCCATCGAGATGTTACTAAATGATGAAAAATATTTACCAATTGCCTCCTTTGCTCAGTTGGAGAGTGCTTCATTCGTCCACATCCAAATACACAGCTTGAATAGGTACATAGGCATACATGGGTCAGCCGTTCGAGCCGGCTAGGAGGAAATGAAGGAAACGGAACACTTTTTTTTTTTTTTTTTTTTTCCCAGTCTAGGACCCTTGGGATTAGGCGAGCCTGAACTCGAAAGTACCTGGTTTGAGTGTGCGAAATCCCATGGTCAAGTCCTTTGGTTGGATAGGATACTCACCATGTAGTACATTTTGTGACTATCAGACCGTCGCAAAGCGCCTTGGTCAGCGCCAGCAGGCCTTAACCAAGCCTCGATCATCAGTAGTATTATAGACCTGGCTTCTGGTATGACCTAGTAAAGCACTGAGAGGCTAAAAGGTGGCGATGGATTTGGGTTGATGGGTGTGATAGTAACAGGCAGTAAACTGAGTCTTTCACATTTAGTCAAAACATTCTTTTTCCGGTTACTGTATATACGCAGGGGGATTGATCTGCGACACATCTTTCGAACGGTTTGCTACAGCACACATCGGAGTTCATCGAAGGCGGGGTGAAAGAGGATAAACACCACCCAATACACTACGCGCTCTGTCTGGGAATCGAACCTAGCTTTCGAGCGGCCAGGCGAATGACAGGCGCGTGTACTAACCGATATACGAACAGACATGTCGATGGTTACCCTTTGCTGTTGATGATTAGATTTACGGCTCAGCGGATAAGATAAGATCGCACCTCCGAAAGCCTTCCCACTGTACGTGGTCCTCGCCGCTCTTGCACCTCCCATCCCAACAATTGAAGGGTTGGGTAATCTCCTTCGTCCACGCCTGAGGCTTGTGCAGCGACACAGCGCTCTCAGTCGTTCTTGGCTCAACCCCGAACCCGCGCTACCCACCCAGCACACACACGGGATCCTAGAACACCATCAATTTATCGTGTTTCCCACCATTGACATTATACGCACGTCGAACAATTTGTGTCTTGTTGCTTCTTGCCACTATCCTCGTTCCTCGTCGTTAGACCCCCGGAGTGTTTGTTCTACTTGCTCTTGCGCGCGGATATAGAGGAGCGTTGGTCTAGGCAGCGCCAATCTCTTCAAACGGTTCAAGGCGCGGAGAGATTCTCGTCCCGCAGATCTATGTCTGGATGTACGGGTACGCTGGTTCGTTCGTGTGCCTGATACGTTGGTGGACGCTCATACCTTCTTGCAGGTTTCTTTGGACTACGAGCTCATGAAGGCGTAGTGCTCGACAGGCAGAACGCAGCGCAATCCAGCTATCCACAGCCTACTCTCCTACACACCCACCTATCCAACAAGCACAATGCCATCCACACCCCCAGCCCACCGAAACCCGCTCGACGCACTCGTCGCACACTCCCAACCCCGCAGTGGCTGCTCCTCATCACAGTTTGGAGACCCATCCTACACTGGCTCGCCCTCTCCGCCATCCTTATCGCAGGCCTCGGCCCTCTGGTTCCTCTCCCCTTGCATCGTCGATACCGGGTCTCAAGAACAGACATAGGGCAAGGCGAAGCAGCAGGTGCCGTGGATGAACAATCGGCCCCTCCTCCGATACCTGATGTCAATCTACGAGGGCGTATGTTGGGTATAGGAACCATGCGGACCCAAGGGACGAGTTGTTGCCTACCAGCGGTGGTGGAGTCGCAAGGTGTGTATCCTTTCTTGTATCTCTCTGTCCTCCGGCTAATTTAAGTGTGGGCGACGGGATTAACAGATGGTCGTTGACTGTTGTGGAGGCGCTCTCGGCGATGTGGTTGATGGATAGGAAGCCAGAGTTTTGGAGGACGGTGCGGATGTTGGAGTGCAAGACGTTTACCAACCTTGTGAGTATTCACGATGATTGTTCGGGAAGGACTGCCTTTGTTCCTCTACCCTTCTTCTGCTCGTTCCTAGACTTCCGCTCGTCGATCTGGCCTTGACAATGCTCATGCTGACCTCCCTTCTAGACAGGCAACTACATCCCCTTTTTCAAAACCACCATCCAATACCTCGGCGGCTACCTCTCCGCATACACGAAAAGCTGCTCTTGACGTTGGCAGACAATATCGGTGAGTCTATGTTCTATTTCCATCTGTTTATATCCCTTTTTCGCTATCTGTACATTCATATCGTTATCGTCATGCCCATTCATCGCTCTGTCTTTCGGTCTCTTCGGACGAGTACTGACTGTATTGCTCAGGGATGCAGCTCCTCCCAGCGTTTAAGACGATGAGTAGTCTATCAGCCGGGAACGTGATGGCCGTGACGTGCGTTTGTTCTCTTCTCCTTCCCCTGTTACCCCTCTTCGACCCTTCTTTCGTCTTCCCCCTCTTTTTTGAAGCAACTTTTGCAAGTGGGGGATCGGCAGGCCTTGGATATGTGTATGTCTTCTCTCTCCTCTCTTCCTTCGACAGCCCCCTTGCGTAAATGATAACTGAATGAAGTGCAGAGGTATTGGACCGCTCCCCAAGGCAATGGTGAATATGTGCACTACCTTCCATAGACTCCGAAGCCGATACTGACGTCGAACCACGAGAACCGCAAGAGGAACAGAGTCTCGTTCGCTCTACTCTCTTTTACGATGAAGATCATTGGTTGGCGTTGCATTACATCGTCCCGCCTAGACAACTGCTGCTTCGACAAAGATCAACAAGGCTTCCTCAACGGTGCGCGTCTTCCTCACCCTACCGGTTCTCCCTCTCCTCCACCATGGCGGTCGCCGATGGGTGTTTGATGAAGGTTGGTTATTGTCACCCATCTAGCACCAGTTATCGCCGTCGGTATCTGGGTCCGGTCTCATGGTTCGATCACTAGTAGCGCCTGTCCTTCCTATCGCACTGCATTTGCTCTTGGCCAGCGCCAAATGTTTCTCTCGCGTCCTCCGCCATGACCGCGGCCTCGATCGTCAGCAGGTATCATTCCATGCATGCCCTCGCCTTCGTCCGTCGACGCCAGCCCCACGAAGCAGAGTACGTTGGGACGACATGAAGAGGGCGACCATGCCACCGTGGAGGGAAAGGATGTACGATGGGGTGTGTATGGGACCCTATAGAGTTACACAGACATGGAGCGGATCCATGAACGGCAGGACGGTGTGGGACAGACGGTAGTAGTACTGGTCACTTGGTTGACATGTTGTTATCCTCCATCAAATTTACTTCTTGCATGCCCGTGACCCTACCATCCTCATCCTGGGTAGCACCCGACGGCGCAGAGACATCGATGAACGTGCAATCCATACAAGAAGCTGCGGGATAGCATTGGTGTAGATCGTCTTCTAATCAAAGTATCATATACATAGTGGCAGACAATGAGATGTCTCAAGAACCCCTTTCACGCCACAACGCTGTATAAATGTGTATGCTGTACATGGGATCTGTCAGATATCTGTACAGCTCCGGACGCCGAACACACCATCTGGTGTACTTCGGGAGTTCATTTCATACCAATCAACGCTTATATGGTGTGTTAGCAATTCGTAGGTGGTGCGATCCCTAAGCCGATTCAAGGTGCCCAAGGTTTAACCATGCCACTAAGCGAGAATGATGCATGAGGGCCGTATAAATGAAGTGCTAGAGGCCACTGAGTTTAGATATGGGTGCGGGGTGTGCTAGCTGTGGGCCATATGCTGTGTTTGAATCATCGCATGCGGCACACACGTGTGAGCTGTGGCCATCCCAAATAAGCGCCCATCCTCGCGGCTCCTTGCTTCCTGCCATATAACACAGTATCAACGGCACTCGCTCATTTCTCCTTTTCTCAACGCATTCTTTTTCCATACACAGATCAAGACCTCCTTCGAAAGCGCCATGAGCCAAGAGACGTATGAAGCTATTGTCTATTTAGCATGTAGAGACTGAACAGTTGTGCAGTAGCTCACTGGTACCTCATCACACAAGTGGCGATGGGTAAGTGATAAGTCAGTTCAAATGAATGGCGACATCTCATGGATTCCCGGCATCCAGCAAACTTTATCTAACAGGTGTGTAAAACTATCGTATGGATGGCTCCCAGCTTGAACTGATATGATTTGACTAGATATCACCATCGAGCGCGCAGACACGTCCAATTACAATAGGCCGCCGTTGAGCTTGAAGGAGCTCTGGGTATTCGGTATACCAGACTCAGACTCGGAAGGAAATTGCTATACCCTTACAAAGGGGGCTTCGGGACAGTGGCATATGACAGGCTTGATTACGTTGTGAGTTTTCACCATCCTGCTGTTTGACAAAACACCAGGACTAAGTTGGGGTTGAAGACCTGCCGGAGTGGCTGGAATTGGCTGTGTTGCAAAGAGTGAAGAGGGGGAAGATGTTGCTTTTGCGCATCTAAATCTCACCGACTCGGGGATGCGATCAGGACATGTGCACTCAGAGCAAGGTAAGAGCTAAACCATACGCACTAGAGTGAATCATAGTAAATATTGGATATACTTAGGGCACAGCCTGAGCACGGAAATGTACGGGGGAAATGTAGGTTTGATTGTATCATGGAAGAGAGTGGAAATGCCGTTGGATACCATTCTGGCGACTGAAGGTGAGTGGGTATCTTGAGCTAATGGAGGCAGAGGTTTATGAATCATATTCACGCAGGTATCGCTGCTTGGAATAGCAGGGGAGTGGGTTTAATGAGGCAATTTGAAAGGACAGGAGACCTTGTGACTGTCACTGAAGCTATAGCAGTGCTGTATACAGCAGTGCAGCTCACCCCCGAGGGTCATGCCGACCTGCCAGGTCGCCTCACCAACCTCGGAATCTCGTTCCGGCGTCGCTTCGAGTGCACTGGGAATCTTTCTGACATGGCTGAAGCCATCTCCGCCCAGCACAGAGCGGTGCAGCTCACTCCCGAAGGTCATGCCGACCTACCAGCTTGCCTCAGCAATCTTGGGACCTCGTTCATGCGTCGCTTTGAGCGCACTGGGGATCTTTCTGACATCAATGAAGCCCTCTCAGCCCAGCACAGAGCGGTGCAGCTCACTCCCAAGGGCCATCCCAATCTGCCAGCTTCCCTCAGCAACCTCGGAATCTCGTTCATGTGTCGCTTTGAGCGCACTGGGGATCTTTCTGACATGGCTGAAGCCATCTCAGCCCAACACAGAGCGGTGAAGCTCACACATGAGGGTCATGCCAACCTGCCAGCTTGGCTCAACAACCTTGGGAACTCGTTCATGTGTCGCTTCGAGCGCACTGGGGAGCTTTCTGACATCGCCGAAGCACTCTCAGCCCAGCACAGAGCAGTGCAGCTCACACCTGAGGGCCATGCCAACATGCCAGGTTGCCTCAGCAATCTTGGGGCCTCGTTGATGTGTCGCTTTGAGCGCACTGGGGATCTTTCTGACATGGCTTCAGCCATGTCAGCCCACAGCAGAGCAGTGCAGCTCACTCCTGAGGGTCATGCAGACCTGCCAGCTCGCCTCAGAAGCCTTGGGAACTCGTTCATGTGTTGCTTCGAGCGCACTGGGGACCTTTCTGACATCATTGAAGCCATCTCAGCCCAATGCAGAGCAGTGCAGCTCACCCCTGAGGGTCATGCCAAACTGCCAGCTTGTCTCAGCAGCCTTGGGAACTTGTTCATGTGTCACTTCGAGCGCACTGGGGACCTTTCTGACATCGCCAAAGCACTCTCAGCCCAGCACAGAGCGGTGCAGCTCACACCTGAGGGTCATGC